GAATGAACACTCATGTGTCGCATAGAATTAAAATACTAGATACCTAACTAAATTACTGTAGTCGTTTCTAGTTTGGAAATATATGTTGTAACTCGTGAATTTTATAGTACCCGAACATTATAACATCGGTGTTTAATATACTAATGTTATGGAAAGCAATTACGTTTGAGATTTTTCTCTTCCTTATTTCTTTAATAACATTTAGTGTCAAGTTGACAATTAACTGCCATACTTTCCATGCATATATAATCAATTTAATGAATTATTAATATTCATATTCGTCCTTGATAGCATGCCGGTCCTTTTAAACAATTTTATCCTGAAACCAGAGATAAACATGAGATGCAGAAGAATAACTAAACTTGAAGATGCTCTTAGACTTATTGGAGGTCTTTTAATTCAGTCTAGAAAGATCTTTTTTTTCTCAGAAAACTTTTCGAACTTTATGCATTTAACACATTCAACATTTTCTATGATGCCCATTGATTTAGTTTCCTGTTTCGTACGAGCAACAAACATCGTCACTGGCATAATACACTTACGATATGTATTCTTAATTAATTGAATCAAATATCGGAATTACATATATTTTCAATAGTGTTTCGTTGTCGTAACTGTTACTCCTTCATTGTTTTTTTTTTTGTCTTCCGAACTACTGCCAGAAAACAGTGGAGTAACTCAATTTATAATAATCTTATCAATTATAAATTGTAAAAGGGAATTGTGAAATGTTAATACGCAAAGTCACACTACCAAAAAACACACCATGACCTATTAGTCACTGCAGTTTTCAGCAATGTCAGCTTTTAGTAACAAAAATTACACCATGATCAGTTTAGAGACTGCAGTGTTGACCAGTATCAGTTCGTAGTACCAAAACTCGTACCATGACTAGTAGGAGACTGCAGTTCTGTGTTCTTTACAACATCCGCTCTTAGTCACCAAAACCACACCATGACCAATTTAGGGACTGCAGTTTCTAGCAATGTCGGTTCTTAATTAACAAAGTACACTGTGGCCAGCTTTGGACTGCAGCTTTGAACAGTGTCAACTCTTGTAAGCTGAGCTACAGGCCGATGATAGTGAGTGTCAGACAACGAAAGTGTAACATAACTAAGTAAAGAAGACTCGCAATCTGTAATTACAGCTAAAGAGATACAACGAAGGTGTAACATAACTAAGTAAAGAAGACTCGCAATCTGTAATTACAGCTAAAGAGATACAACGAAGGTGTAACATGACTAAGTAAGGAGGAATCACAATATGTAG